GTGTGTGTGTGTGTGTGTGTGTGTGTGTGTGTGTGTGTGTGTGTTATGTGTGTGTGTTTCAGGAATGACTAAGGTCAAAGTGGGGAAAGAGGATCTGTCATCGGTTGAGTTTGTAGAGAAGAGAAGATCTGCTTTGGAAAGGTATTCGAGTTGAGATGTGGCATTTCTTCATTTATTTATTCACTGGTTTTAGTTTCATTCAGTGTCAGCACTAGAGCTGGGTTTAAAAACATAGATTTCTTGATTTTAATCGCTTCTCATTTTGATGAACCGATACTGATTCTTAAATCCCAAGCATCGATCTGTGCTGTTTTATAAAAGTTAATGTGTGAATAAAACTTACTGAAACATTATTTGTAGCTCCACCCATCCAGTAATCACAATAATTTTTGTGCTTTCTTACTTTTGATATGAAACAAAGTCTCAGCTTTGAAATTCTGTCAGTTGTATCACTAAATTCAAGCAATAAATGTGTTTTTGTGGCTCTTTAAATGTGTTACTTTCCGTAAGAAGTAACTCAGTAATGCAATTAGTTACTTTTTTATGGAGTAACACAATATTGTAACGCATTACTTTTAACACGGGTACTGACAGATGCTGTAGTGAGACGATCATCTCTTCATCTTTACTACTAGTTATAGCAGCAAATAAACACAAATATCAATCAGTGATTCAACCACAGAAAGACGTCAGTAAATCAGCTTGAGATCAATAATGTCACATTTACCTCAGGAAAGACATTTAATGAACATAAAACTCGATAGTCAGCTAGAAGAAAATTCTACAAAATGTTCTGCTTCTTTCTAGAAAGAAGCATTTTGATCAATATATGCACTATATTAAATTTATTTTTATTTTTAATGTATGTCTGAATAAATCAATCAGTTATGACATCTACCATTTAAATGTTTAATTTTAATAATACTTATTATTAAAAACCTATTTTTATTATATAAAACTGCCTTTAAATGTTTGTTTATTAATCAGTTTAATATAGTAATGCACCAACTGACAGGGTTTATAGTAGTTTAGTTGAGGCATTATTAGTTGAGAGATTTTGTGCTGGACCTGATCCAAATGAATCGATATCAAATCGAATTGAATCTGAATGGAATCGATACCCAGGTGTCTGGTGTTTTCTGTTGGTCTGATGCAGTGGAAAGATCACTCGTGTTCTGGTCTTTTGTGGCTAAAAGGTTAAGCAAGAAATATTAGATAAATAATGATATAGGTTTGCTGCTGTCCCGTTCTCTCCTCCGCTGATCGCCGCTGTGCTCCTGGTTTTGCACAAACTGATGAATCGAATAAAAATTACAGTTAAGTGAGGCGCTGACATTTCTCTGCCCTTTTTATCTGGCCGCTGACTGACGTGAAGGTCAGCGGCTCGGCCGGCGTTCCTCGGCTGTTACAGAACTGGATCCTGATGCTAAGGCGTGTTTGTGTTGCAGGTATATGCTGAGGACCGTCAAACAACCAGCGCTGCTCAAAGACCCCGATGTCCTGCAGTTTTTGGAGAGTTCAGAGGTACCGTCGCATGTTTCATATGGGGACGTCATATTATCAAACACTTACTGAGCTGCTTTTGGATTTTATTCCCATCAGTCATTTTTCCCATTCCATGTTTGTAGTTTACAGCATTTCATACCTTTAATAAATTGGCATTTACAATAACTAGAGGTAACAGCTACTATTGACAAGCTGGGAAAAATTCTACTGTTTCTTATGGATAAATGTATGGAAGCTCATTTCCGTCATGGGATAAAAAATAAAAGAGGTAATTGCACATTTTTATCTCACAATTCTGACTTTTGTTCTTGCAGATCTGAGAAAGATTCACAGAATTGTGAGATATAAACTGAATTGCAAGAAATCAACTCTGAATTGCAAGAAATAAACTCAAAATGGGGAGAAATAAACTCAGAATTGTAAGAAATAAACTTAGAAATGAGAAATAAACTCAGAATTGAGAGATATATACTCTGAATTGTGAGATATAAACTGAATTATGATATATAAACTCTGAATTGAGAAATAAACTGAATTGTGAGATATAAACTCTGTCAGAGGCTGTTAGAAAATGCCATGTAGCTTGTGAATGAGGTGATTTGACCTATTGACATTTCACAGGCCTCTAGGGGACAGGTGCTTGAATGTTGTTCATTGCTGGTGCATGAAAAAACACTGTTTCTCTTTAAGGGAGAAGTCTAATTAAAAACAATAAATCTGATTGATCACGTGCTTGTGCATCATTCACAGCTGAATTGACAATACCCTTCATTTCAGATGAGTTCCTGAATTTGAACTGATTTTGAGTTTAGGTGGCAAAGTATGAAAGCTTGTTTTCACCATGGGATTAAAAACTGCAAAAGGCAATTGTGAGTTACATCTTGCAACTCAGACTTTTATAAACTCAGAATTACAGATGTAAACTCAGAGTTCGGAGTGTATATCTTGCAATTCTGAATTGATATCTCATAATGCTGAGTTTATATATAACAAAAAGTATATATAAGAAGTCTGAGGTTTGAGATAAAAATTCAGAATTGTGAGATATAAACTCTGAATTGTGAGATATAAACTCTGAATTGTGAGATATAAACTCTGAATAGAGATATAAACTCTGAATTCACAGGGAAAAAGTCAGAATTGCGAGATATAAACTCTGAATTGAGATATAAACTCTGAATTATGAGATATAAACTCTGAATTGAGATATAAACTGAATTATGAGATATAAACTCTGAATTGTTAGATATAAACTCTGAATTGTAAGATATAAACTCTGAATAGAGATATAAACTCTGAATTGAGATAAACTCTGAATAGATATATAAACTCTGAATTGAGATATAAACTCTAAATTGTGAGATATAAACTCTGAATTGAGAAATCAACTCTGAATTGTGAGAAATCAACTCTGAATTGAGAAATAAAATGAATTGTGAGATATAAACTGAATTGAGAAATTAACTGAATCGTGAGAAGTCAACTCTGAATTGTGAGAAATCAACTCTGAATTGAGATATAAACTGAATTATGAGATATAAACTCTGAATTATGAGATATAAA